TTGTACTACATACATGCATACATACATGTAGTTACATACATTGTACGTGTACTTGTATAGTGATTTCATAATGTATGTACAGTATGTCCTAAATTATTTGAACACCTTTGTGCACTTTTATTTCGAGAGATGTTCAGATAGCTGAATAGTCTGGATAAGTGAAATAGAGTGCAGAATACAGTAGACCAACCTATCCTATACTTTTTCAAAAATTAAATGACCATGACTAACTCCCAGAGCATCTATGGCTTATCTTTAATGGTATTTCTCTTGGTTAAGCTCCGTAAGCTCCTTGCTGTAGCAACCATTTTAACCGGTTATTAATAAATTAACTAGTCTGAGCATGTGCATTAAAGACAGCCATGCGTTCGGATAAATGAAGAAGAGGTACAGATAATCAAGGACGTACTGTACAATTGTTTAATGTACAGTACATGTACATCTACATGTACATGTACATGTACAGTACTGGTTACTATTATTGTACATTCAATGCATACTGTTCACAATGTTTCAAAGCTTTTTTGTGTATGATACAAAAATTGATACTTTCATAATTAATTAATAAAGCTCTTCAATATAAATTTATAAAATAACTGTTTAATTTTAATTTTTTTGTTATCACAGCATGGTTATTGACTTAATGTACTTAAGGATTGGTACTAGAGACTTTTGTTATTATTTATTGTCTAGTATGGTGATACTCCTCTGTTATTAGCAGTTAAAAGAGGTACACGTAGCTCAACTCAAATTATCAAATCATTGATTATTAAAGGTCAAGCTGATGTTACTGCTGCTTGTAAAAAAGTAAGTAATTTAAGGAACAATTAATATTAAGTTGTTTTACAATTTACTTTTTTGACAGCATCAATTTAATACCATGCAGTATACAATGTTTGTTACGATTATGTAATATAATGTTCATTTTTGTAGTATCATATCAATCCTGAGCTCTCTAGATCCGAAATTGCTGAGTTGTTAATCACTAAGATTCAATTAATAGTGAGCAAACATTCTAATTGCCTAAGTACAATGCATGTACTGTATTTGATTTGCAAATAAAGTAATTTGTCTTTTGTAGTCTAGTTTAAAAATATCCTGTTTTAAATTTTTTGGTGTCATTTTGTATACTGGTATAGCCTTTTTTCACCTGTAGCTATGATCAAATCAAAATCAAGGGGTGAAGTGTTTATAGTTAGATTGAAATCAACACATAAGACTTACTGTAGTAAACATCATGATAAAGAACTGAATCTTTTTTGATTAATAGCATCAAGATCAAAGTATAAATTTTTGATCACAGTCTCAAGTAAAATATTAGGCTATAAACAAAGGACACCTAGTCACCCCTTGTCTAAATGCATCTGAAAATGTTTAGCAAAAGCTGCCAGACATATGCCAGTCATTGTTCGGCATTAGTAAATATTGTTTGACTTTAGGGTTATTTAAAAGGACAAAATGACCGTTAAGCAACTGGAAAATATATAATGTGAAGCTTGTGTGGCTACGAGAAATAAAAATAGTGGCTTCAAATAAGACAATTTTCAATACTTTTAAAAATAAAATTTGTCATATTTAAGCATCAAATGACTTCTTACTAACTCAGTATCTGCCAATAACCTAGCCTCACTTTCATGCATTTTCATGGTATTATGCTATGTCCGTTACTATTAACAGTGAATTATAGGACATGTGTCTGCATTGTTACTGGCAGCAAAATTATTTTTCTACATCTCAATAACCTAGCATCATTTTCATGGTATTGTGCTGTAGTATTATTAGAATCTTAATTAACAAACAGAAGTGATAATCACTTAAACCAACAACACAACTCAGTGAAAAGAGATAAATGAGAGACCACACACTAAACATAAACCAAGATGAAGAAGGAGAAAAACGAACAAAAGACAGACCAGAACAAAAGAACATGTGTGTGCATATCATTATAATGGTACACAATAAAGCCTTCTAGAAGCATGAATCAAAACCACACTGTTACGTAACTAAATGTAATACACACAAAGCCACAAGATTAATAATGAATTTACCAGTTACCACATGTGCTATGTCCATTAGTATTAATAGTGAATAAGACATGTGTCTGGTTGCTGGTGGCAAAATTATTTTTTCTACATCTCTGGGTATGATGTATGTAATTACATGCTGTACATTGTATAGGGGAAGCCTATAGAATCTCATACTAAACCTGAGGAGGTTATTGGTCTACTTGAAATTGAAACTGATCCTAATATTACTGAGGTTTGTAGCTATGAACATGTACAATATGTGTATATGTATGTACTGTAATATTCTAATTTGTTATAATAGTATCTATTTGGTGGTACTGCTCTTATTACAGCCATTGAAAATGATAATATTGATATTGTTAAATTGTTACTGGAGAAAGGAGCTAATCCTAATGTTACTAAGGTTAGTAACTGTATATGTATGTACTGTGGGTTTTTAATTTGTTATAATAGTATTACCGTATACAGCATATTTTTGTGGGGTTAAATTTTGCGATTTTCGTGTTTTGGAAAATTTTGTGAAATTAAAATCCACAAAATAGCATGTGCTGATTGTATAGTAGGTGTGGCAATTACATTAAAATCGCAAAATTTTTATTTGCAAATAGAAAAATGCAGTCAAATCGCAAAATTTTATGCTCGTGCAATATATGCCATATACAGTATTTTGGTGGTCCTACTGCTCTATAATTGTTGAAGTGCTACTTGAAAAAGGATCTGACCCTAATATTGCTGATTCTGTAATTTTGTTGTCAGTAGTTACCGTATAGGGTGCCTTTTATTGAGGGCTGTAAATTTTGTTGATTTTGCAATTTTTTGGAGATTTGCAATTTAAATTACTTACGCAAAAATCAAATTATTATGGTACAAGATGACCAGAAGGCATAAAGTTGCAAAAATTAAATCCACAAAATAGATTTATAGGCCAATTCGCAAAATTTATAGCCCTCGAAAAAAACGAACCCTACAATATATTGTAATATGAGCTATAGCATCCAGTGCATGTGCAGATACATATGCATATGAGATTAGACTTTCATATTAGCTTTCTAAGATGATTATTGGCATTAAAACTAGTAAACTATACATTAATAATTTAATGTATGGTTGATAATGTTAGAGGGTCCAATATGTTTTGCTTTTTTTCCAAAATTTCCTTTAGAAGCAAATATTTGTGTGCACTATGTACAATGTATATGTAGGTAGAAGTATTAGTGGCAGTAGTAAGCTTCTTTTCACTTGGGTCTACAACTCTTGCTTCTGATGCATGTACATGTACATGGCTTATAGTGAAAAATGGAATAACAAAGATTCTGGCTTCTACACTGGCTTGAAAATAGTAGTAAATAGAGCTCTACATTGCTGATTAATTAGTTTTTCATGTTTGGATTGTAAGAGTTAAAAATTTTAGTGAACTACACACAAATTGACAAAAATTAATACCCTATGGACATTACCAACCATATCATATGTATTTATACCCAATGCAACACCTATACATGTACACAAATTTTATTATTAGCACTTGCTTTTGTAAGTTACTTAACAACTTTGAAAAGCATGTTTTACTTTTTAAAAAATTAATTGTAAGTATTTGTCTTTTATTAATAATAATAAAATAATTGTATCCATATGCTACTCTGTTGCACCGTGCTAGTAAAATTGGTAATGCTAATATTATCAAATTATTAATAACTAAAGGAAATGCTGATGTGAATGATGTGGATAGGGTAAAGTTAGAAAATAATCATTTAATTTTAATTGCATCATTTTGTGTTGTATTTATAGGACAACGAAACTCCATTGTTTGTTGCTGTTAAGAGTGGTAATATTGAAGCTGTTGATATTCTGTTAACTAATGGAGCTAGAACTGATGTTGTGTCTAAAGTAAGTTTTATTGCTGGCATTATTGTGAGTGATCAAAATTAAAAGTGACTTGCATTGTGTGTGCTTGGTAGTGTTTTTTGCACACAAAACAATTTTTCATTTTTGAGTCATTAAGAGATAACAGCCTTTGACCATTTATTGAATAACCCACACACCCATCAATGAAATATTTTACC